TCGCGTTGCGATTTATATGTTCGCGTTGCGATTTTCATATTCGCGTTGCGATTATGGAAAATCGCAATGCGAATTTGTACTATCGCATTGCGATTCTTCATAATCGCGTTGCGATTCTGGGAACTGATTTGTGATTCTGGAGATCGCGTTGCGATTTTTATTTCGCATTGCGATTTTGTTGGTCATTTTGGCAAATCCAAAAAAGTTGATTAAAATCGTATATTATAAGACATTTTTGGTCACTGAGGTTATTTTCTCTAAAAGAAGAAGTAGATAAGAGATAGGGAAGAAATAGAAGAACAGAAGAAGGAATAAGAAGGAAGTATTTTCATTAACAATTTGCCATGCCTATTCTGTTACCCCCCTTCCCTTGTAAGCTAAACAACTAGATACATGATGAATGAATTCATCCAACGTCCTTGGCACCTTCTTGACACGTGTTCTCTTGGACAGCTGTAGTAGTTATAATTGCTGACTTTGTTGCTCTCTTTGAATCTCTTATTCATAACATGTCTTTTGCTAAGTGTACAATTTTGGAATGAATGCATTTATGGACTTGGAGAATACTACTCCCCGAGTTAGTATGAGTTTCAAATACAAAAATGTACCTAATGCGAGTATGTTCAACTTTTTTCTTTTTCAAGTGTTTACATGCATTTTGAAGATTATTGGAGGATCATATTCCCTAAACCTGTAGAACTTGAAGTCATAACACCAAATAATGTTCCTATTGACTTAGAAAAATGGGAAGGGAGCTACAATTACAGTTTTTCTTTTTGCTTTTAGTTCTTCTAATGTTTTTGGAGGCTGGAGGTAGGCTCTGTTAGAGTACTACAATTTTCAGCATGTAACAGAGATATTGATTAAAGATGAACGCAGTAAGGATGCCTTGTTTTATTATCAAACTGAAACTTGATAGTAGATATAAGCAACTCAGTTATTGACAACTTTTACTTCTAGCCTAAGAAAACTCACATGAAGAATTGCTGTGTATATACACCAGAAAGACAACATATGATCATGAAGAAACCTTGTGATAGTTGATCAAGAGACCCAAATGCATGTTAATAATATTAGAGTTACTTAGATTATAAGAGTGAAAAAGACATAATACATGACATACCTGCTATGTTAAAGTAATGCATCTTTCCTTCTTTCTTAAACTTAGTTCCTGCCTTTCCTTTTCTTCAAGTTTTTGACAAAACTAGGAGCTGCAGATATGGCAGGAGAAATTGGGGGTAATTTTCAATATTCACCAACCTTTCATAGTGAGAACTAAGAGGCTCTCCCAGGTTATAAGGATAAGTCATCACCGTTTCAAACAAATGGTACAACCACAGAGTGAAGATGGAAAGATTATTATTGCTAACTTCATGCAGGTCTGTAAGCTTCATAATCTCAATACGGATGCAGTTTATAGTTGATTCTGGACTATTATGAGAAAAAGAATTACAAAAGGGACTATAAGATGCAATCTAAATGAAAGGAAATTTTTCAGGGGAAATCATCTACATAGGGCCTAATTCTGTTAAAAAGAAGGTTTTAGCCAATAGAGTTTAATAAATATTTAAATTTGAATGAGCAATTCAATGATTGGTTTGGGATAAAAGTAATCAATGAAACCTTACAATCAATTCAAGGACGATGCATAATCTTGTCCATAAATTCAAGGGCACTTCTATACTCTGACTCCTCTATTCACAGTACTTGAAAGGGTTAAAAGAAGACATCCTACAGGAGATTCCTTTCCTAACAGAATTGCTCGAAGAACAGAATGAACAGGTATGTTTTCATCCTAAAGTTGAACCAATTATAGAAATGTAAGCAGATTAGATTTTATCATGTTCCTTTGCAGCCGCTGGAACAAAATGAGGCGCAACAAAACAGAGAAACATTGGATTCCACAGACGCAAATCCAAAAGGTAAATAAAAGCTCCTTTTGCAGAGGATATATGATAGAAGAAATTTCAAGCATAAACCCTCCAGGTCCTATGATAAGCCCACATAAAATGTGGATGCACATCCAAAGAACCATACTTCAAACCAATAATTGCTGAAACCTAATAGCACATTCCCTTGTTTTCCCTAGATGTATCGACTCTTGACTAAAATATTTGAGCATAAGAACCAATCTGGTATTTTGAGGGGAAAATAGTGAGTCTATCATATGCCTGGAATGATAGAAATTCCATATCCAGAAATGATCTTCTTAACGTGATGATGACGATAGTTTTCCACATCTAGTCAACCTAGAAGTTCAATCGCATGAATTGCACAACATGCTATACTTACACCAAACAACGTGTCAAGTAAATCCAGATATATGTTCTTTTCATAAATATACGTGTGGATATTTGCTACTTACCGATTTTACCGTTTTGCAGGAAGAACGGACACTTCCAGTGGTGCAAGCACCATCCGGGTGATAATTCATGGGCATCATCCGAACGAAGGGGCATCTAATGAAAGATTGGGAAAGCTTGTATATTTGCCTGATTCACTTGACGACCTCTTCAGTTTAGCAGGTATCACCAAACAACAAGCTTAAAAAGTAAACATTCATTTACTAATTTCCACTTGACATGCTACAAGACTTACGGAATGGGGAAAAAATGAAACCAGCAGAACAAATAGAAAGATACATAACACACCTAAAACTCATTTCTAAGAGGAGGTAATCGAGTACATGAAAACACGCTGAAAGATTTGATCTTGAGGCATCAAACATGAAGTTAAACCTATTAAACTAATATTAGAGACTTACATTTAACGTCACAACAACATAGACTAAAAACACTAAGCATAAGGTATAGCAAATACTAAAAAAGTTAATTTCATTGATTCATGTGATTGGGAAGTTGACATCATTCAGGGAAAAATATGTTGGTGGATACACTAATATGGTGAAAAAAGTGGGGTGGGGTGGGGAGGGGGGGGGGGAAGAGAAGCGAGCAGTGGTGCAGGGAACTGAATTTAGTTATATTTTGTTAATACAGAGAAGAAATTTGGAAAAAGAGGGAGCACTATTCTTATGGTTGACGGCTCAGAAATTGAAGAACTGAATGCTCTGAGAGAGAGTGATCACTTATTCATTGTTTAAATGCTAAAGTAATATTTGATCTGTTTTCTAAGCGTTTATATGTTCTGAGTGATGATTCTAAATGTGTAATGAGTTATGCTTCAATACAAATGGTAGTGTAGTGTTTATTTATACCCAACAGTAACCCATCTTCAGTTATTAGGTTCTCCATGAAAATAATGGGAAGATGGTGGTGTAAATTATAGAGCTTACAATATTATGTTATTGGGTATGTTCAAAACAGTATATGCATCTTTCTGATAACTGTTCCTTCTATTCCTCCAAGCTTTTCTTATAGCCTACTTGAACTCTTCAACTATTCCTCAAGATTTTTGATCAAATTCACTGCAGCATTTTTATTGAAGGGTAAACATGATGTAATTTATGAGAAATAAAGTGTTTGCAACAAGCTAATGTTAAATTTATCTAACAGAACCTAACGAAAAGAGTGAACAGTGACTGAAGACAAAAAAGTAGGGTAAATTACATGTTTAGTACCTAAACAATCAGTTTTGATCCGTTTCAGTACCTAAACTTCAACATTTTCAAAATTATACTCAAAGTTTAGTTTTTGTTTTATTTTAGTATCTCGTCGTTAAAAGCTTTAGTTTTTTTTTTCATTTTAGTACCTTTGTTCAAATGTAACGTTAAGTTTTGAAAAAAAATTAAAAATTTAGGTACCAAAATGGACTAAAACTGATATTTTAGGTACTAAACATGTTATGTTTTTAATGGCAGGATACTTAAATGAAATGAAAGCTAAATGTTAGGTATGATTTTGAAAAAATTAAAAATTTATAAAAAAATGAACCAAAACTGATAGTTTAAGTACTAAATATACAATTTACCCAAAGAAGTATTGGAAGAGCGAAACAAAAACCATGATTGTGATTTGTGGAGATACAATAACACACTAATTACTTCTTGGCGTAATTTTCAGAGTAAGACTGAAGTTTAGATAAAGTAAGAATAAATGAATAATAATTAACAAATTTTCAAAATTAAGTTTATATCTCATTATTCACCACATGAGAGTTACACTGAAGATTTACTCACCTTATCATCTAAACCATATTCTCCTTTATCATTTGAACACACAGCGACACATTATCACTATTTAAACGAAAATTATTGCAAGTTAAATGACTAAATGCATATGTGAAAAATTGCATGATGTGAGAAAATAACATTGTTAAATAAATTAATAAGAGTGTATTTATTGTAATGAAACTTGTAATTCTTCAAAGTATAAAAAATTGTGGTCTGACTTATAAACTTTTAAAAGAATTAAATTTTGAAAAAAATAGTTTTTTTTGGAATTGGGTCAGTGTAGGTTATTCAAAATTAATTTGAGATGTACGATAAATGTTACATTGTATGGTAAGCTCGTCACGCTCATATGACGAGTTTATCCAAATAATATTTTTTTATTTAAACTCGTCACGTTAAAATGACGAGATCTAATAAAATATAATTTTTATTAGAATTTATCACGTCAAAGTAAAAAATTTCAATAAAAAAATATATTTTATTAAAACTAGTTCTGTCCACTTGACGAGTTATAAGTCACTATAGTAAATATAGTAGTTCTCGAAATAAAATATCAAGTGTCATATTAGGTTAAATAATTAGTCTGCGTACTATATTGGGTCAATTTTACCGATATGATTTTTCTATTAGGCCTTAATGATTGGGGGGAAAATGACAGGCTAAACTCATTAGATCCACTTAACATGACAATCTCTCCATTCATGCATGTCCCACGCATGTTCCAGGCCATTCCACGATAAAAAAACACCATAACCTTCCAGCCATGAAGAACCCTTGTGGTAGTTAACAAAGAGGGAAAAGTTGTCTCTGAGAGAACACGACATTGGCATCTTCATTTTCAGCGGGAGTGAGAGACGATAATCAAATGTGAAAAGCAAAGAAGAAAATGTCGGGATGGGACGAAGGAGCAGTTTACTACAACAATCAGGCTCAATTCACAGAAGCCTGCGGGGAAGCGGAAGCGGCTGCAGCATCCTCCACGACGAGCGGCCACTCCGTTCTTCTCAAATTCAAAGAGTTCATCAGGAACTTTGAAAAGGAGAAGAACGTTTTCCCGTACAGAGAAAGCCTCGTTAATAATCCTAAATTCCTACTGGTCCATCTCGAGGACCTTCTCTCCTTCGATTCCGACCTCCCTTCCCTCCTCCATTCCGCTCCCTCCGGTTACCTACCTTTGGTAAAATATTCTAACGAATTTCTCCTAGCAAATTTATCGAAATATCTTCTCTTAGTTTAAGTTTGCTTCTTCTTAATGATTGGTGCAGTTTGAGAAGGCAGCTGCGTAGGTTTTAGTGGGTTTGAAGATGAAAATAGCGGGAGATTCACGGGAAATGGTGGAGCCAGAGGCGGGCGAGATTCAAATTTTGCTTACATCAAAGGAGGATACCGTTTCTATGCTCTCACTTGAGGTAATTGGTCGATATTGTTTGATCTATGAGTAAGGATGGGACGAACTATTTCAGTTCTGACCCTTTTATATCATTTTATTTATTAGGCTCAATATATATCAAAACTAGTTAAGATATCCGGAATTATAATTGCTGCTTCAAGGATCAAGGCAAAGGCTACTTATGTACATTTAATCTGTAAGAATTGTAAAAGTACTACGGCGATTCCCTACCGTCCAGGTCTAGGTGGGGCAATTGTTTCGCGATCATGTGACATATTCCACAGGTTGTTCCTGTAGTAAAACAAAATGAGTTGTTAACGTTACTTGTTTAGACTGAGAGATTTGATAACAGTTATGGAATATCTGTAGCCTGGAGAAGAAGCTTGCCCTATTGATCCGTGGTTGGTGGTTCCTGATAGGAGCAAGTATGTTGATCAACAAACCTTGAAACTGCAAGAGAACCTAGAGGTAACGGTCTTGTTTTTAAGAGGAATAGTGTATAAAACAGATTATAGAATTGATTGGAATACGCATTCACGTTAAATTTGAAGGATGTACCCACTGGTGAGCTTCCGAGAAATATGTTGCTTTCGGTGGACCGACATCTGGTTCAAACAATTGTACCTGGTTCGAGGTTGACAATAATGGGAAATTGTAGTGTCTTTCAAGCTGCCTATTCATCCACAAAGTAAGTCATTATGTCTTTACTCTAGTTGAATGTTTACTCTATAGTTAGCCACTTATTTCTCTTCTAATTGGAATTCTATTTGATCTGATTTCTGCAGCCATAAAGGTGCAGTTGCAGTTAGACAGCCTTATATCAGGGTAGTGGGAATGGAAGAGGCAAGTGAAGCAAGCTCTCGATGACCTGCTACTTTCACACAAGAAGAGGTAAATATCAGAGTGATCATGAATATTGTTTACTTAAAATGTTGCATCTCCACTTCATTGCATCTTTTCTCATTGGTTTATACCTTTCCTTTTGCATATGCATCAACTATATGCTTGATAGTGCTATTGATATGTTACTCGGCTTGCAACATATTTTTGAACTGAGTTGATTAATTTAATTTGTATGAATTGAATTTTTCTTTCCAATGTCTAAAATGAAGTTACGATGGATTCTTATCATCATCATTGTTATCTACATATCACTACAGGTAGAAGAATTCAAAAAGTTTGCCACAAATCAAGATACATATAAAGTCATATGCTCCAAGATTGCTCCCTCTATATTTGGTCACGATGAGGTCAAGAAGGCTGTTGCTTGTCTTCTATTTGGAGGAGCCAGGAAAGTGAGTTTCACATCCTTGACTATTCTCCAATATTCCTAGTATATACTGTCACCATGACATGCTTCATTAATGTGTAGAATTTGCCTGACGGGGTGAAGTTAAGAGGTGATATTAACGTGTTGCTTCTTGGTGATCCATCTACTGCTAAGTTACAGGTTAGTTATCCTGTTTTACATTTCATTTTAGGGTAATTATCTGGAATTTTTTTTAATTGAAGATATTTCATACTATTGTTTCTTGTACTTCTTGCACAATTTGGTGGTTATTTTATAGCGACCTTGTACGGTTTCTCAAGTTTGTTGAGAAGACATCTCCAATAGCTGTTTACACTTTTGGAAAGGGCTCATCAGTTGCTGATCTTACAGATTCTGTTATTCGAGATAGTAGCTCTGTAAGTTCTTGGTGTGCTTTGGAATCTGGTGGAGATAATTTTGTTTTACTGTTTTTTAATGAGAAAAGTTCCCTTTACTCTGCCCTTTAAAATGTTGCAAAAAAAAAAAATGCTAAAAAAAAGTTTCTCACGTTGTTCATGTATCTATGAAATGTCAACGAGAGTTTTATCTTGAAGGAGGAGCCATGGTTTTGGCAAATGGAGGTGTTGTAGGTGTTGTATGTATTGACGAGTTTGATAAGATGAGACCAGAGGATAGGTAAGTAGGATTAATGTTAAAACCTGCAAGGCCTTCCTATGTATGATGCTTATGAGGTTTTTCTATGTATTGCCTAGGTTTGTTATTGTCGCAACGCCTCGAAAAATCGAGGGTTTAATTTTAGGGGTTTATTTCGCCTAAAAATAAAAAAGTGATTCCATGGAGTTGCCACTAATATTTGTTTAGGGTGTGATTAGATTAATCAAAATGTTGTTATAAAATTTAATTTTAAAAATTATTAAAACAATGTTTTGGTCTGTCTTCCAAAAAATAGGTTCGAGAGTCGATTACGTGTGGGAAAGGGTTAGCACACTCACAATGCCCGAAAATCGGTACCTAATCGATTAATTATTGTCTTTGCAACGGATTTTATGGATTCAAATATCAATTTAATTAATGATCTCCTTTTCAGTTAAATAGATACCATGGTATTTAAAATCCAAGGGAAAAGATTAACGATTCGAGCATTTAACTCGGAAAGTTAACCACATTTTATGAGGAAGAATGACCGAAAGGGAACCACCCCTAATATAAAGTAGAATGATGATTCCCTAGAAGGAAACAAGGAATACCCCATTCATGGTATTTATTTACCTAAAGTCGTACAACAAATAAATTTTTTGTTAATAGGAATACTGATACTTTAAGATAAATAGAGAATATTCACATATTTATAAGTATCGAACCTAAACCTCCGAATAGAGTCGAGAAGCTCATTTTCAAAAAGTCTAAATATGAAAACATTTCTCTTTCTACCCTCTTGATCAATTTTAAAAATTATCAAGTTTTGTATTAATTTAATTGGAAGGTACTCATTCACTTTAAATTATCAAATCAAGCTACCCAGGTGAATTAGGATAGCCCTCTTTAATAATCTAAATTGAATGCTCATGGCCTTTTAATTTATTATTGAAAAAAATTCGAGTAATGCTTATGAGGTTTTCATTCTTAAAAGATAAAAGAATGTTATGTAATCAATAGAATAAAGGCACAACAGTTAAGCGAAAAAATGAAAAGTCAAATAAAAAACCTTTTAAAAGGAATAAATAGAGGGAATAAAAGGTGAAAAAGAAAAAAGAAAAAAGAAAATAAAATAAAAGAGTAGAATGTTAGTAACAAATAAATAAAATATCATAAATGCATAAATATCAAAATCAAAATAAATAGATTAATTTGGAAACATAATAACTATTAAAGGAAAAATGTATAAATGAAAGGTCAACTAAATCAAATCAAACATAGAATTAAAGAATGAATTAAAATAAATTGAAATGAAATTGTGAGACTGAAGCAAATTTAGGCAAGAGCAAAGCCACAACAATTAAGTAAAAATAAAATGTTAAATAAAGAAAATCTTTGAAAAGGAATAAATGAAATGAATAAAAGGAAATAAAAATAATTAAATGAATTAAACTAAAATAATAAAATAAATATATAGTTAACGTGAATAAACCTGAAAAAATTATTAGTAAAAAGAAACAATAGAATATAAATATAAAATGTAAATAAAAATTAGACAAAGTAAAGAGAACTAAAGTAGAATAAATAAAAAAGTGGTGAACCTTAATCGAAAGAAACCTGAAAATAAAGATAGAAAGTATTAGTAAAAAATAAAACATAAATCAAATATCTAAAATTAAAATAAAAAATAAAATAGAAATGAACAAATTGAAATAAAATTCCATAATTGGATATAAAGAAAATATATAAAAAAACCAAAGTGAATTAACGAAAAAGATGAAGGGACCGAGGATAGGATTTACCCAAAAGTTCCTGGAAGGCACGGATCGAATAAGACGACACCACTCTAGTGTCTATGCAACTCTCCCAAAACTACGTCATTTTGGTGGGGTTTAAATAACATTTTTTTGCTTCATTTTCCTTCATTTTCATTATTTCTCCTCTTCTCTTTTGTTTTTATGAGAGAGAAGCTCTCCCATCTATCTAAAATTTAGCCAGTCACCGCCGCCAATCGTCGATAATCGTCGTCGGTCATCTCGTTCGCATCCAAAATACCTCAGGAGACCCGTTTCGACCTCCTAAATCCAAATCTAGAGTTTATTTTTCCAAAGTGTGTTGTTTGCCGTGAAAAAAACTAAAAATTATTTAGCCCTCCTATCTCTGATCGTCGCTGTCTACTGTCGGATCGACGCGATTCCGTGATATGTTACTCCTGCTAGCCTTCTCTCTATTTTCACCATTCAGATACACGAACGGAGGCTCTATCGCTAGCGAGACCGTCGGCCGATCGTTTTGCAGATCACTCGTCGGAAACCTCACCGAATGCACTCGAACGTGAGAAAGAAAATCTAAGGGAAATATCTAAAAAAATGTCTTTTTAGTGATTTGAAATCTTGAGGGTAGAATCGTTGTTGTTTTTTTACATTCGAATTCCCCCTTCTGCTCATTATTTTTTTCATTTTTTTCTTCATCCTCTAATCGATTTTTCCACAGATTTAAACAAGAATTTTTTTCTGTTTTTTGCAATGAAATTTATAGATTTTCAAATCTCTATTAGCATTCAGTCCCAGTTTTTCTGGATTTGTTGTCTGCTGAGATGATTTCCTTGACAAAGTTCATTCGAATAAAATCTAGAGGGGTCACTTTCCGGCATGTGGAAGATTCGTCAAGCGCATGATCTGGACGCGCGCCAACTGGTCTCAATTATCCTAGGGGAGGCAGATGCGTGACAGCTAGTCTCGATTGTTCTAGAGGAGGCATCTGCTGGAGTGATAGGGAATCCTATGGTCTTCCTCATTGTTAATGCTTTGATTGTTGTAGTTGGGTTAATGAACTGGGCCTGTAAAATAATCAATTATAAATAAAAATTCATTCATTCCTTGTTTTTGCATGTTGTAAATAATAATAAAAAATGATAGTAAAATAATATATACTACGTAGTAAAATATATGGTAATATATATACTAATGTTTTCATAATTATACTAATAATAACATATTAATATAATAATAAGAAATAATATGATAGTAAATAATACTACATAACAATGGTAAAAGTAAAAATGAAAATTAAATTTAACTCAGACGAAAATGGGTGTCTACTTTTATCTCTCTTTGTCCATTTTTGTGTAACGACAATAGAACAAAAAACCTTAGTTATGCAGGAAGATTGGAGCTAATCAAGTTTGTGTTGTCCAGTATCTCAAATTTTTGGTGTAGCCAACTCTTCCTGCCAAGTTCCGTCTTGAAGAAAATTGAGCAACTTTGCTCCCGCTTTTTCTGGAAAGGGTCCAACAAAGCTGCTTCCGGAGCAAGAGTGAGTTGGAAAAACATATGTCTTTTGAAATCTGAAGGTGGTCAAGGGGTTAAGGATATGAAATCTTGGAACAAGGCTTGTATGATTACTCTTATTAGAACCATTCTTGCTGGGGAGGGTTCCCTATGGGTTGCTTGGCTTAACCACTATGTTTTCAAGCAGGATGATTTCTGGTCAGTGGACATCAAATCATCTGCTAGTTGGAGTCTTAAAAAGCTCCTCCAGCTTAGAATCAAGGCTCGTCAAGTTCTTTCTCCCTTTGCTAGCAAAGTCAGTATTATATGGGACTCACTTCGGGAAAAGAAGGCAAAAGTCCCTTGGCAGAAACTGCTATGGTTTCCCCTGCATATCCCACACAACATGATTTCTTGGATGGCTTTCCTTGACAGGCTCCCAACAAAGGACTGTATGCTGCGTTTGGGACTCAATAACGAAAGCCATTGTGTTTTTTGCAATTCTGAAATGGAAACTAGAGACTATCTATTTTTCGATTGCACTACAGCTGCCACCATTTGGAAAGCAGTTTATTCCATGTCTGGTTTACAACTCCAAATCTGTTCATGGGAGGTCTTCTTGGCACGGGCATGCTCTTTGTGGAAAGGCAAATCTTTACTCACGGTTGTCATGAAGCTTGCTCTCAATGCTATCATCTACATGATTTGGGAAGAAAGAAACAAAAGGGTGTTCCAAAGCCGATCAAAGTATACAGAGGCCATTATAAAGTCCATTAAAGACACTGTAAATTTGCAACTTAGGGGGGAAAATTTCAACAGAATTGATAGTGTTAATATTTCTTTAAGCAATCATTGGGGTATAAAAATCACTGATTCTTTGTTAAGATAGGTTTTTGTTTTGGTTCCCTGATTGTGTTTTTGTATCTGACACTGTTCCTTGGATAATATAATCTGACTTATCCAAAAAAGATAAAAAAGATACGAATTTTCGTTCGGTTTACAACATAAAATGGATTATGAAGACGAGCTTACTCTTCTAGTATTGAGACATTTGCTTTTTTTCAAGAATCAGATGATCATTCTCTAAACTTGATATCTTCTGATTTTATGAATATGCGACTGGAGTTCCTCGTTCCTAGACTGCAGTTGATTTGGTCCTCGAACTTGATATCAACTACCACGAATTTAAAATTGTCTTTGAGAATTTTGGCAAGACGTCAGTTCCTTACAGATATCATACGGTCAATACGCTCTGAACTTGAAC